AAAGAAGACATATACTCTTAGAAACAAAAATTTTCAACATTTCTTTATCCCCTATTTCACACTTCAGCCTCAGGTGAAACCTACTTGCTGCCTTCATAAACTGTCTTTTTCTATCCTACAATATGCAGGTTTTTGCATCTTATTTTCCACTTAGCATACTGTTGTAATAATGTGCTTTGTTCTTTCATGTCTGATAGCACTCTATTATATAAATACAGGCACAGTTTGTAAACTGTTCACTAACAGGCATATATGTGAGCTGTTTCCAGTTTTAGCTCTTATGGAGAGCAGCACTTCTACTTAGAAGTAATCTGCTGAGGTTTTGATTGCCTTTATCAGAATGCCAAAATACCAGAATCTGAGCAGATCTGAAACATTATACATCCCAATCTTTCAATTAAAAAATAAACCAAAATCAAAACACATTCATTTTTCCGATATTCATGGTTCACTGATGATAAAGACAGGATTGGAGCCAGGCGTGGTGGCTCACGCCTATAATCCCAGCACTTGGGAGGCTGAGGCAGGAGGATAGTTGCCAGTTCGAGACCAGCCTAGGCTACAAAGTGAACTCAACAACTCAACTCCCAGCCTGAACTGCACAGTGAGACCCTGTCTCAAAAAGACCAAAAAAAAAAAAAAAAAAAAAATACAAAACAGGATTGGAAGCTTTTCTTTTCTTTTCTTGTTAAATCTGTTTTCATTTTCCCTCTGGAAGTGTTCTGCTGGAGCTTTTCTCCCTCAGTTCCATTCTGTAGGAGCTGCTCTTCTAAGGCCTGAGCTGCCAGGGCCACTTTGGTCCCAAGCCAGCCCAGGAAGTGCTTTACTTGTAGCAGACTTTTGCTCCCTGTTCTCAGGGTAAAACCTTCACCCCACCTTTCCCTGGGGTACCTGGGGACTCACCCTGAGACTGTAGGACTCCTGAGAGCAAATCCACAGTGCTGGTCCTCTACTCCATACCCAGAAATTTTATTCCCTAGCTGCTCTTTCCTTTGCAAATCCATTTGCCATCCTTTATCTGTTTTCTGTCTGTGCAGCTTAGGGTTACAGACTGTCCCCAAGGTTTATGAGGATATTATTTACATTCCCAGATTTTACTTTTTTAAGTTGAAGATTTTCAGCGAAGAATGAAAAATTTCTTTGGTAACTTGAAACCAGAGATGGAAATAGTTATGTAATTAATAAAAATATATGGCAAATAATAATTTCATTCAAAATAAGAGTGTAGGAGGACACAATCTTGCCTCAAATCCTGAGTTTTATTCCATAAATATCCTGCATATACATGAAAGAGGCTGCCTTTCACTATGCACAGGTGAAAACTAGCCTTATTTCTCTCCGTGGCTAGCTCTTACTCCAGTAGCCTAACAGACAAAATAAGGAGTCTCCTTTGAAGTTGAAAATAACCCATGGGCTTTTTAAAAATAAAAATTATTATTTCAAGTTTCCTATAAATATTTTGTCAAATGGTAAGCACACAGAAACTGATTCTGAACACTTTTTTCCAATTATATAAATCAAATCTACTGTAATTGCTCTCCTTTTCAAAAAAAAAGTTTATGAATTATGCACCAGGCTAGAAAACAAGGGCTATGGTAATTGGCTGTTATTCTCCAGGCAGCTAGCGAGCGTTTACTAGACCTGCTGTGCACTAAGTAGCAGGGGAAATAGACGTAGATAAAAATTTGGCCCCATGGCCCTTATAATCTATTTGCGATAACAAGACAAATACAGAACTTAAACAGTACAAAGCAGTGTGGGGTCAAGGGACAGGGGCTCAAGAGTTACAGAAACTAGGAAGCTAATTATCTAAATAATATTGAAGACAAAAGGGAAGGAAGGACATCAAAAGCCTAAAGCCCAAATAGAAACTAAAGTTAATGTGTACAATGATTATGTCACTGGCCAGCATAAAAACCTTCGATGGCTCACTACTAACAAATGGCCATTACTACTGACAAAAGACCAAACTCTAACTGGGTCTTAGGACTTCACAGGTCCTGGCCCCATTCTACCTCGCTAGATTTTGTCCAAGCCAAGTTGCTCCATGAAAGGCTCCTGAGCACAATGACACCCACTGCTGTCTAACTTCCACTGTTCCTGCTGCCCTCCTACTCAACACCCGATCCTCAGTCTCACCTACTGAAATGCATCAATCTTATACTCGGCTTCCTTCTCTATCAGCATCCAACACTGGGGTTTGTCTGGTTGGTTGGTTTGTTTCCCAGTACGAACTGCAGATCTTTGAGACAGCCAGTCTCCAAGATATTCCTAGTAATTCTCACCTTCAGGCATTTACTACCTCCTCCCTTGTGACCTGTTTAAACAACAGGGTACTGTAGAGGAGATACTGTGTGACTTCTAATGCTGGACCTTGAAAGCCAGTTGAGTCTTCTACTTTGTGCTCTTTTGTTTCACTCACTCTGGAGACAGCCATCCACAGATCATGGTTTACTCCAGCAAACTTACAGTGAAGTCTACATACACAGAAACCTTCTGCTTAAAGCCAGTGCCAGTATGCCAGCTACACAGTGAACCAATGTGGAATCGTGTCTTCCAGCTCCAGAGAAACCTTCCTATACCTGTAGACCTGGCCACATGCCTAACTTCAACCTCATGAAAGACCTCCAATCTGATCTAATTGAGCTGCTTCCAAATTCCTGACCCACCACAGCTGAGCACAATAACAGATATTATTAGTCTTAGCTAAGTTTTGTTAGCTGTTTATTATGTAGCAATAGTTAATAAATGTATCTCCTGACCTATTTTGCTTGGAATTCTAAATATTTGCATCTTAATCTTTTTTCTTAGAACTAGACCAACAATATCCCAAGGGCAACAATTTTTCAGTTCTCTACATACTTTATAAGACATTTAGTAATCATTATTTTATTGAAAGATAAAATAATTGAAAAAGTGAACAAAATAATTAGTAAAAGTAGTGCCTTGGGTTGTCTTCACATTGGTTTTGCAGAATCCTCTGATTTTTTTTCTTAGGTTTCAAGACTTGGTAGTATGGAAGTAATATCGTCGGTAATATGGATTCTGATCTCAGCCTTGCCTTTTAAGGAATCCTTCCAGGAATACAGAGACTTCAACCTACTTCTGTAACAGGACCTGTCTGCCTATTCCACATTCCTAACTTTTCCAAAGTCAAGGATAGCTTTACAATGCTGCCAGAGGTAAATGAGAATGGGGGCACCCAAGAGTTAGGAATCAGGGATGAGGCTGGCCCTAAAAAACAGCAACCATGTAGAACACAGAGCCAAATCCTGACCTGGCAGAATATCAGTCCAGGTACTGTGGCCTGGGTCCAACGAACTGAAGGCATTTTATAGATTTCTACTTCAGATTCCTTCTGAATCCCCTAGTAGCTGAAGAGGATTTCAGTTTATTGCAGGTAGTTTCTTAAACTCAGGGTTAAATTATTGTTTAACAAAGCCCTCATGGACCCAATAAAGCTGCTCAAAAACTGAGTATCTCTTGTTAAATCATTAAAAAAAAAAAAAAAAGAACCAAGCTTTTGTAGGTCTTTTTATTCATAAAACCATTGGAAGGCACCAGCATTGGGCAACATCAAAAAATCTGAAATCATGAAATTACAGCTTACACACGTAGTAAGGTACGGGTCATTACACAGTACACTCATTGCTGACAGGTAAGCAGGCTCAGACTAACACTTATATTAATGGCTTCAAGATGAAAGAAATAGCAAAATAAGTAAGAACTTACATAAAGGAAAGCTACAAAATCATGTTAGAAGACAGCTGGTTCCCACGGTAAAAAATGAGTGTGTGGCTGGGGATTTAGCCCAGCGGTATAGCCTGGCAAGTGCGCCTGGCAAGTGCGAGGTCCTGAGTTCAATCCCTGGTATCACCAAAAAAAAAAAAAAGTGTGTAGCTTTAAGTCAGTCAATGCAGTACAGATGGCAATGAGCCATCCATGTGCCATTGTTGCCCCACTTGTGTTTGGAAATTTTCTTTGCTCTTTGAAATAAAATGGATTTGGAAAAAAAAAAAAAAGAAATGCAGTACAAATCTAGTCAACTTAGCCTAAGGGTAAAGCAAGATTAGTTCCAAGGAGGAAGACTTAGAGCTTTTTAAAATTCTGTGCAGTTTAACTGTAAATGCCCCCCTCCTCCCCTTGGGATCCCAAACCCACAGACCTCAGAGAGATCTGGTATTTAGCCTAATTCTTTCCATATGTTAAACACACCTCCTTGCTCATGGGCTCCAACCAGAGTATTCCTTCTGAAACGGGGCTGGAGACAGAGCTTCCCGTGTAAACTATTCCATCCTGTTAGTGCTGGACACCTAAGCTTCATTATCAAACAGCTCAGGTCACTTATATAAACTACTGATAAGGAAAAGCTGCAGCCCAATGGCTCTCAACACTTCTTTTCATATAAAGAGCCACTGCTTGAGAAAAATTCGGTCTAATCTCTTAAAAATGTGTATTTAACTAAAGAAAACTTTTAAAGTATCTCAATGTCCTAGTGTCATTAATTGTGCTACAAAATCCAAATTCAATTCCATCATTTGTTAGTGTTTGGGCTCCAGGACCTCTCAGCAGTATCAGAATAAGATCGTGGCTTTTAAAAATACATGATGTAAAAAACAAACACAGTAAAATATAAAAATAAATGATGTGGACATTCCTTCAGGCTACATCTATGTTTTATTTTCTCCATTTCTTTCTCAAGAAAGGCAACATCCAATTTCATTTAGAAATAAAGCCAAATGTCTACTTTAAAACAGAAAATGATGTAAGAAACAATGCCAGGGGAAAGGAGAATACTGAAATGCGCATATTCTACAGGCACAGCTCCCTCTATATAATTATGTAAAAAAGATGGAAAGACATAGGCTAAATGAAAGATGTTTTTATACACATCGATAACCTTACTATGTTCTACCCTTTCTAAATTTACTTTGCTGGGAGCTGTCTTACCAGTGGGTGTCATATGTCTAATTTTGAAAATGATCAGGATGAGATCTCACCTCACAAGAACAAGATGGTGACATTTGGACCACCTGAGACAGGTATCTGCCTCATCTGCTAAACTTTCTTCAGGGTGAGCAATTCCACATGTTCAAGTTTAATCCCTGCAAGAGAAGAGAAATGGTCTAACCTGCTAATCAGAGTAGATTTTAGGGAAAAGCTCTCACTTTTATTGTCAAACTCAATCCCTTAAATTAAAGTCATAGAAATGAGATCCCTCGTTAATACACACTTACTGAGAACATGGGTATAAAGATGAGTTTCAAAGATAATTAAGCTTCTATGTACCACAGATGCAGACAGTAGGACAGTGGTTGCCAGGAGTGGGCTGTGTGGGAGGGTGAGAAATGTTTGTTGATGGGCACAGCCTTTGGTGATAAGATGAAAAGTTCTGGGATCTAATCTGCACAGCATCACGTTAATAGTGCTAGGGGTAAGTTGCAACCTGTAGGGAATGGCTCTAGGAGGACCTGGGCAGCAATAAACTAAAGTGGAAAAGGACAAGTGCAAAGACAGGGAGGAGGAAGGAATTACTAAACATCTGGAGAGGGAGCGACCTCTTTTGCTTTCGGCAAAGTTCTGTGAGGATGTGGCCCAGCAGGAGAAGCAAGGTACGCATCACCTGGGGCAGGGGCAGGGGCAGGAAAAGCAGGTGTGTCTCCCAGGACCACACAGGCTCAGGGGCAGCACAGAGGAACCATTAGGAGGGAGAGAGCCCTGGGATTGGACCTACCTGAGACAGAAGAAAGGGTGGGGTCAGGGAGCAAACTCGTCCTCTTGCATGCCTGTGAGGGGCCAAGAACTCCCGGCTCCATTTGACTCTCACAAGTTGTTTTACAGGTAAGAAAACGGAGACTTGGGGAATCAAATACAGCTTTGGAAAGTGCAGTATAATGCCAAACCTCTCCACAGCCACCAACTCAAGTCAGGACTATGCTCTGCCACGTTGCCTGCTGCTCTGCAGGACTTTTTAAAAACAGACATGGACCTTGGAGCCTCCTAACTAAGTCAAAATAAATCTTTCCCCCTTTAAATTGTTGAGGTTGAGTATTTTGCCCCATTAACGTAAAATATATTGAAAGTCAGTAAGAAGCTGAGTAACTCAGGAATGGCAGTCTTTGCTTTCTACTATGGAAGTCCTTTACAATGAGACAACTCTGTTATTTCCCTTTACGAAAAACAAGACAGAGAGTACCCTGAAACTGTAAAAATATTTGAAGTTTAAATGTACGAAAATCAAAGAAAAAATGTGTGTGTGTGTTGATAAATCTCTTCCCTGGGATATTTAACTATTAAAATTATAAAATGCAAAAAAATAAAAAAGAACAGACATGGGGCCAGGCACGGAGGTGCAGGCCTATAATGCCAGCACTAGTGAGGCTAAAGCTAGAGGACTGTTGAGAGTTTGAGACCAGCCTGGGCTACAAAGTGAGCCCAAGGCCAGCCTGGATGGCATAGTGAGACTTTGTCTCAAGAAGACAAAAAAAAAAAAAAAAAGGACAGGGAGCCACTGACTCTTCTGGGTTACAGGAAAGCTGTGTTTTGAAAATCAGGCAGGAAAGACTGGGGAGATGCAGTTATCTAATGTGGAAAGCTCAAAGTGTTTCCATATACCATGCTTTTCTCAGCCTGTTATTTTTATACAGACTGTCCAAGAAATTATTAGAATGCTTCAAAACCTTACTGAAATCTAAAATTCTCTCTTGTGGCAAATATATATATATTATATATGGCAAATATATATTTTATATATATATATATATATATATATATATATATACTACAGACAATATAAAATGCAAATAAGCACTTTATCTCATTTCACTTTATAATCCCACAATCAAATGGTAGGTATATTGCTGATTCTTCTAACAAATATGCATTCATAAACATAATATGCCTTTTTTAAGATAATGAGATTATTTGCCTTTTGAATTTAATCTGTCTTGGAGATCTTTCCATATCAGCTAACGAGACAAAACCCTGTTCTAAAGTTGCATAGTGTACACAGTGCCTCGTCTACTGTGTGTGTACATGCACACACATGTAAGCAACTGATGAATATGTCAGTCATATGGACTTTTTTTTTTTTTTTTTTTTTTTTTTGTCTTTTTGAGCCAGGGTCTCGCTGTGCAGTTCAGGCTGGCCTTGCGCTCACTTTGTAGCGTAGGCTGGTCTCAAACTCACAAAGATCCTCCTCCTGCCTCAGCCTCCAGAGTGCTGGGATTTTTATAGGCATTATAGGCGGTGAGCCACCACACCTGGCCTTATGGATGTTTTGTTTGGTTCCTTTTATTTTTTCATTGCTGGGGATCGAACCCAGGGTCTTGTGTGTGCAAGGCAAGCACTGTACCCCAGACACTCTTCAGTCTTAAAACCAACTTAGATATCATAATAGGTGTTTTCTCTGGCATGAGACATCATTTAGCAAGATTTCCTCACTTCTAGGTATAGTTAACCATCATTTAGCAATGAAGGGAATGCAAACAGTCTAAAAAGAAATCAACTCTATCTGAGCTCCTAGGAAGGCTCGGGCCAGAGGAGCCCCTCCCTCGGCCCATCCAGCCCTGCCCCATGGCCCTTGTGTAGAGGCAGCTCCTCCTTCCTGCTGGGCAGGGCAGCCTGCCTACTTCAGGAACAGGGCTCTGTCCTCCTTTTCTTAACTGGTGGCTTCAGCCTCCCTGGTTTAAAGACTCCATGCTTAAAATGACAATGAAAAATACAGACGATTAATTATCAGAACATGAGGTTTCAGAGCTAGGAAAGATTATGATGACCTCCTTCAAGCCTCTTATTTCTTAAATGCAGCAGTTCTGGCCCAGACAGACTGAACATCTGGGCCAGTACTGACGACCCACTCCTGTGTGCCCAGCTCAGGTCTTTTCCATTACTCAGTACCCAATGAAATGAAAAGAAAAAGGTTCCAAGGACATAACGTTGAGATAGCATAGATAGTAAGATATCTACAACCTAGTTTTAGATGCTCTTAACTTCTTTCTGCACCAAATTAGAAGGGTGACCAAGTGGTGATCTGACATGTTCCTCCCTCCCCCGGCCCCCACTCAGGGCCTCTGTGGAGGTGTTAACAAGTAGTAACACTGCTGACAGCAAGACACACAGCTTAGAGACCTTGAGCTACTCTGCTGTGGGACTTTCTCACCCTCTCTCCTGCAGCAGGGCTTCAATCAGGGAGGCCTCAGGTTCTCAACTCCAGAGTGGCCAGGTTCATACACCATCCCCCATTCTGAAACCCAGCTCATTACTAGCCAGCAGAAAGCACTGCCCATGGCTGGACGGAGCTGGAGGCAGAGCTCCTGTCCAGTTGGGATGGTAAACAGGCTCCCACTGCACTGAGGTGTAGCCATGGCCACAGAGACCTCACTAGAGTGTGTGGCCACAGCAAGGGCGTGCTAAGTACTGAGACTTTGCAGTCATACTGGCCCACTCAGGCCACTTTGAGGCCTGACAAAAATTTGGGCCTGAAAAGAGGAAAAGAAGTTTTCAGTGTGGCTCTGCTGAACTAATGAGAGCGGTGTAGAAGAGATTGCATTTTTACGCCTGTCCACACTGTACCAGGACTGTAACAGGAGCAGTCACTCTCAACACTGTTCCTCTGGACACCTAAGACCTGGGGAAAAACTTGCGCAGATGGGGCAGACTCACAAAATGCCTTGGCTGGGCTCCAACCAGGGCAGAAAAGTGGGAAATTGGAGGGAGTTCTCACATTGCTGACAGGTTTTCTCTACCACTGACTGCCAGTTACAAGCAAAATCTCCCTTATGTGGTCAAGTTTATGGAGTTTGCTTTTCTTCATTCCTCAAATAAGAGATCACTTCAACATTCACATTCAGTGTTAAAGAACCGCTATTCCATCATTCCATATTTTCATCACTATTTGGTACAGTGAGTGGGTTTTAAAGCTATGTACCATAAGATTGCCTCTCATTTTCTATTATGACATGTGATTGGGGTACTCAAGAGAAAGAAAGAGACCGGTCAGAAGCCCCATAGACCAAGCCTGCCAGGGAGAGGACACCTGCTAAACAAGGTGTGCATACAGTTTATTACTATTATTTTATTTTGAGACAAGGTCTAAGTTGTCCAAACTGGCCTAGAACTTATGATCCTCCTGCCTCAGCCTCCTGAGTTGCTGGGATTACAGGCATGTGCACTATACCTGGCTGGCCAATGCTTTGGAAGCATGAGATACCAACATTCAGTAACTACCAATCAATTAGCTAAAGAATCAAGGCAGATAAATAAAATGTGCAACCAAACTGGGCAACTCAACAGACAATAGCAAAATCTTTGACCAAACTGGTACATACATCATACAGGTCACCAACGTTAAATTTTAATAACTAAACAGTACATGATACAAAAAGCCTCATATCTAGACAGAGGTTCCCCATTTTACAAAGCCTGCCCTAAGTTCCAGTGCCAAGCAATGAGAAAAAGATAAGGCAAGAGACAGCAGCAGCAGCAGCAGCAAAGTATTTCCCTGGGCAGGGGGCAGCCCCAGCCTCCAGGATGCCACAGTGGTCAGGAAAGAGAATTCATAAAGGGGGCTGGGGATTTAGCTCAGTGGCATAAGCGCCTGCCTTGCAAGCAGGCAGTCGTGAGTTCGATCCCTGGTACTGATAAAAAAAGAGAGAAGTCATAAAGAAGCCACAACATGGACTGTAAGACTCACGAAATGAGAGGCAAAGTAAAGACAAAGAGGAGGACAAACAGGCTCAGAGAAAACACTGATCTTCACTGTGAGGCCAGATGCCCTGGCTTTGTGCTCTAGTTCCACAGAGCAACATGGGATGGAACAGCCTGACAGCCTCAAGCTCTGAACCCACAGAATGACCTGGAGGAATGAGTGCTGCAGCCTCACATCTTCTGCTCAGGAAGAGCCTTGGAAGGGTCACAGCCTTGCCTGGGAAGGGAAGAGTTCAAAGAGACAGGGCAATTTCCCCACAAGCTAATAAGGAAAGAAAAAAAGCCACATCCTTCCACATCATTTTGTAAATAAGTGCATATTTAGTGTTATGTACACCTCACAAGGTTCAGCCGAAGTTAGACTAGAAAAAAGCAAAGCACACTAAGAGTATGAGGT